CATTCATTCATTCATTCATTCATTCATTCATTCAATTAATGGAACATGAACAAATATGCTCATAGTTATTTAACTCTTTTCTCCTTAATTTTGAAATTGTTGTGTTTTTTATTCTTGCATTCAGAATATTCGCTAAGTAGTGCAGATCTGTCATCATTATCTGGCTTTAACACAGCCAGTGCTCTCCACTTGGGTTCAGTAACTGGCTGGCAGCAGCAACATCTACACAACATGCCACCATCTACCCTCAGTCAATTGGGGTAAGTCAGAATTCAAAGTATTATATTATTTTGAAAAGACCATAGCTATCTTTCCCCCAAATAATCCTGTTTTCAGTTATAAAGCTTTTCCCTCGTTGATGGAGTAACAGAAGTTAACACCCAGTCTTGTGTCTGGAGAATTAATCCCACAGTTTCTAGTATCCTGAGTTGAGGCACCTTGAAGGGAACCAAGGCTCTAGTCTTGGCAGAATGACTGAATTGTGATTTCGGTCGCTACAATAAACCCAGGAGAGTTGCCTCCATGTAGTTCTGTCCTGTGTCCCTTCCTCTCTAGATAATGTTCTGCTGGTTGTCAGTTAGTAGAAATTGATGTGAAAGGCAAGTTTAACATGTAATAAATGGCAGGCCTCCAGTATGTCAGTGATAGATGTGTCATGCATATGGATAGATTGCAGTGCAGCATTTTTGTCATTAGCTCACATGGGGGAGGAGAGCAGTTGAGTGAAATCAGGCAACAGACGGTCTATGTGATTGAATTGTCTTGGCAGTGGAGTTTCAACATTAGCTGTACCAGGCTACATTACATTAGGATAGAAGCAGCTGAATTCACCTGAACTTGGGCTGGGAAGGAAATAACCTTCCAGCCCAAATTCAGCTACCCCAAAGGCACAGGGGCTGCCAGAACCATCTTCTCCCTTGAAGGTGGCTTCCTTCCTCCTCTTTCCTTCTTGACCTGCCTCAAAACAGCAGGAGGTAGCCCACCTCCAGAGGTAGGGAGGGGAGATAAGTGTTCCTCTCACAGTACCACTCTTTCAGTCTGTAGATGTGTCCCAAGTGAAAGGCAAGCAGATATGGTTAATACTAGGATGTTATCTTACTATGGACATTTGCAATTGATGAAAAAAGGACTATGGTAAAGCCCCTATTTTGCATGCAGAGACTTTAATACCTAGCATCACTAGTGATATCAGATGACTGGAAAACCTAAAATCTTGTGGATGATTTGATAGAAGACATGTTTCCATCATTTCTGGGGGAAAGCTCCCATAAATGTTAACCTACTACTCACTCAAGCTGTGTCTAGTAATTATATCTGAAAAATTCAGAATTTGAAAACAGATAAGCAATTCATTTATAACTCATCTGTTTTCCCCAATCTATTAACATAAGCTTGTTTCACTGATTGTATCATACCCTTGTAGACACAGTGATATTAGAACTCCAGGGTTTTTACTTTTCTTCTCTGCTTTGAACAGAGCTTTAAACCATTCAGACTGCATCCTTTGCAATACCTATCTGCTTAGTGTTACCAACTGACCTACCGACTTGACCCAATCCTAATCCACGTTTGCCTGAGCATCATGCATTTTAGAAGGGGCACATATATTTCACTTATTTCCCTTATACCGTGATAAATTACATGTTCAAAAGGTTGCCAGCAAGCAGATCTAGTATTCATTTCCCAGTGAAAGGGCATGCATTCCTGCCCTCTAGTGGCAAATGCAGGAGGGAAAAAAACCATAATAATATATGCTGTTGCAAAAGCCGAAAAACTCTTTGTAAAAGATTAAATATAAACAAATCCAGTGGAACAGGGAAAGTAGCAGCACCATAATGTTCACTATTCCTATGATCTAAATTGCGCATAGTGAGGGTTGGATGTCTTTTCAGTGATTGGAGACATAAGTGAATTAATAAAAGGCCATTGTGTGCCCATTTGATGAGATGAGATGCCCTTCTTTTAGGGTGCATTGAAAGCAGTAGCTCAGCCCCATTTAAATTAAACATGCTGCCATTCACTTCAGTGAGAAGTGGATTATACCAATTATTTTGTCTGTAAGAACTGAAAATTGTATTACCGTGAAAGCCCTATTAAACATTTCCTATAACCTTCATAATAATATTCCTTGTGCATTAATCTTAGTATTTTTAAAAAAAATCTTACAAAATAGGAAATGCCCCATCTAAGCAGTATTAAAGTGAACTAATTGTTTTCAGTAGTGCACCATAACATATAATGAGATTGTTTCACAAAGAAAGCAAGGTCATAATTAAATGTTAAACTATCAGCAAACCTTCATAGATTTGACACACACTATCATCTATTTCTAGTTGAGTCATAAAATACATGGCATACAGTATTTATTCTACATTTGTAAGTAATTGGAACTCTAACTGCAAAATTTAAAATATATATATTTCAGTTAGCAATGCCTCCTGTAAACCTTATAAGTCAGATCTAATCTGAAATTAAATAACCACAAGAAAGAACAGAGTTAAGAGAAGAACTATTATCCTATCTCCAATTTAATCTGCAGGCTGGACTGAACATCTCTAGGGGTGTACATTTTTACTTTTTTAGAAATCAACAAACCACTCTGTGTGTGACCTTAACTTATTCATAGTCAGTGCTACGTTTGCACTACTTCTAGTTTTCTCAGTGAATAAAGATGTTCATTACATGGCAGATTGAACTAATTTCCTGCAGTTGACAGATTCCAACTATAGGCAGTGCATTAATTTCAGGTATTGCCAAGAATGTACAATCAGAGAATTCCGCCCTTTTGCTTGCTTTTCACACAACTGCAACTGTAGGGCCAACATGCTTGTCCGTTCCCTTTAGGAAAATAACTGCACCAATTTTAACAAAATCAGTTGAATGCGGGGCAGATGAAAGCAATTACTGATGCAGCATTTCTCTTCCTCTTTGTTGACTAACAATAGCCATTCATTATTAAACATTGTGACAATTAATGATAAAAGCATTGCCACATCATTCCAAGGATAGATGTGAGATAAAGCATTGTTTTGCATTTTTGCAGAGTTTAGAGAAGAATTGGGCACAGTCCTTCATTTTGGGCCCAGCCACAAAGATTTGAGAGGATTAGGGCTAAGCACATGGGCTGTCCAGTCTTTCAAAATACGCAGCTCCAATGCATGTGTAAACTCTATCCTTCATGCCATAGTTTTCCAGTCCCCTCAGTGGAACATTACAATCTGCCATATCAACTCTGAGTGATACACATCTTCCATGCACGGTTGGCAAGTATTCACAAACTTAGGAAATTGTGTACGTAACATTTTCCTTTCTCATCACCATTCCTCTTACTCTAGAAAACCAGTCTACTTTACCCATTTTAGTAGTTCATAATAGACATTTTGAACATTATCATATATATGTCAGAAGTTTATGTGTAGCTGTAACAAAGTTGAAATGTTGTACTGAATAGGACATTTCATGTCATTGCAATTAGCACATTTTGAACACCACATTGGTTCAGGATTTATCTGATAAATCATGGTTTATGGGGCAGGGAAAGAGCTTTATATGCCTTAACTTTCCATCCCCTTTCCTTTTTCCCAATGCATGTGATTTCAGCAACAGTACTTGGATTTTTAAATCACTTTTCCATCATGGTTAAATCATGGTTAAGAGATCTAATCCTGGTTTCATAACCTGAAAGTTCATTTTCCTGATCAGACAGGATGGGAGAGTGGATCTGGAAGCCAGTATATCTTTCTGGATGCAAACTTTCATCAGGAGCAAACAAGGAGGGATGGAGCATTTAAGCACATAATTTGTTCCCAGTTCAGTAGACCATGGTTTAATCAGACTGACTTCTTTTTCACCTGGATATGGACCAATATGCTCAGAAACAACAAGTTTATATCTGATGTTTATAAGATCAAGATGTAAATTCAGTTCAATCAGGGATTTACTACGATTTCCCTACAATATGTTATCAGTGCCTTATCCATAAAGAGCATTGCTTTGTTACACTAGGGAATTTATTGTAGAACCATAAGAGAGAAAATGTTTCCAGTATTTGGTATGTAAAGTGCAGGCTTAATCTTCCATGTTTTGCATTATTTTTATTAAGGCATCTATAAAGCCAGCTTCCTAAGCCTCATGCAAAAGAGGTGCTTGGCTAGTTTATCCTGTTGCTGCCCCTTCAGTTCTCTTTTTATTTTTTATCTATCTCATGCACAAAACGAAAATAAACTTACTAAGTCATGCTTAGTTTTCTTATCTTTGTCTGTAAGATTTGCATCCTGGGACAGAGAGAGGATAGGATGTTTTATTTCAAATATGGGTGCATGGTGGGAATTAATTTCACCTCTGTTTGGGTGAAATCATGCTGTATCCTCAGCATGATGAAGGTACATACAGGTAGTCCTCAACTTACGATCACAATAGGGACCGGAAAATTTGTTGTTTATCAATAAGATTGTTAAGCAAGGCAACACGTGGCCACACCCAATTTCACATTTTTTGCAGCAGTTGTTCAGCGAATCACCATGGCCATTAAATGAATTACACAGTTCCCCATTAATTTTGCTTGTGGGAAACTGGCTGGGGAGGTCTCAAATGGCTGTCACGTGACCCCAGGACACTGCAACCGTTGTAAATACACACTGGTTGCCAAGCATCCTAATTTTGATCACATGACTGCCAGGATGCTGCAACAGTCATAAGTGCAAGGACCAGTTGCAAGTCATTTTTTTCAGCGCCACTTCCGTCACTAAACGAATGGTCATAACTTGAGGACTACCTGTATATTCTTTACACTAACAGGGTGAATATGGTTTCAGACCATTATCATTACATTTTAAAACTGCTTAGAGCTGTTCAGATGAACAGTCTCACTTAATGAACTTTTGAATGGGAGTACTCTTGGTGACCCCACCCAGGCAACTGAACACAGTATTTGTGGGAAAGGATTTGCATAGAAAGAATGTGCAAATATAAATGCATAGACCTGGGCCAACAGATTTATGGCTTGTTTAAAAAGCCACATATATTTCTTACCTGCAGTTACATCTTCCATGCAATTGTGAAAGGTAGGCGGGTCAATAGGTGTATCAGCATCATTGTTACACCTTATACAAGCAGTCCTGCTCATCCATTACACATTGGTTGAACACATCAGGGAGTATCTAAACAGGTACATTAAAGGAGCATTTAATGTAGTCAAAAGGACATTAGACCTTGCTCTAATTTAAAAACTTCACATAGCTATCAAATCCAAATTTGTTTCCTGAAGTCAATCTTCAAAAATTAGATCTTATATTTCCTAGATTTTCAAATTCAATTTAAATTATTAAACCATTTTACTCACAGTAAAATATCCCGTTACCTTTATGTGTGTATTGTTAGATCTATATTGTCACAGTAAGGAAGCACTGCTTTGAAAGTATGAGTTCAGCTTAATGTAATGACGTGATTCAAACAGAGGTTCAGTTACATATAAATTACCCTCAGGTTTGCCATTCATTTAAATCAGTGCTCCTCAGTCTCCACAAAGTTAAGATATGGGGACTTCAACTTCCAGCATTCTGGCTGGGGAATTCTGGGAGATGATGTCTCCGTATCTTAAGATAATGAGATTGAGAAACACTGATATAAATTATGCTATATTGAAAATAACCCATTATCAACCTATTGCCTATTATTTTTGCTTATTTCATCAAACAGCAACTGCTGTTATCTGTTTAGCCATCACTAAAACTCTTGTTTCAATTTCCTCATTACCAACAGAAGAGAGAGGGGAAAAATACAGGAGACAAACTACTAACTTGGTGCTGCTTAAATACATAACACAAAATCATGCTTTGGTGGCAGCAACTTTTTCTAAATCTTTGCCTAGCAGGGCTTTAGAATAAATCAGAATTTTCTAAAACTAATCTCGCATTGACTTTTTGTTTGTATTAAAAAATGAAGATTAGTCTCTATGTACCTTTAGGGTGATATAGAATTGGGTAGGGAATGTCCTGAATCTTTGCCCAACCCTCTTTCCAATATGAGTTGCCATTCGGACACACCTCCGGACACTCACTAGAGCCCAGAAAAATGAACCACGTGAAAAACCAAAAGGTGCTGAACAGATCAGCCCCAAATTGCTCTGGGATGCTGAGGTGTAAGCAATCTGTGCTAGTCTGCCATATGGCAATTTACCATCTTTCTAAATTACTTTTCTGTGTATGCACACATGGAGTCATACCTTAAGAAATCAGAAACTGCTTAAAGACAGCAGTATGTGTCACTGCCACTATTTACATTTGAGATGAACATCATCCTGGCTGCAGTTCTGGGCAATCAACAGAACAAACTGCAGGGACCACACTAGGAGAGTCATCCATTCAGACATGTCCCACAGCTGCAGAGACAATTCTACACACACCCTCCTTGGCTTTGTGCAGGGATGATGTTTTCAGTCTCTTAGCTGATGTTTTGTATAAGTGTGCATTTCAGGGGGCTCTGCCTCCTCCGTCTGTAACTGGGTTTCCTTTCCTCCTACAGAGCTTGCACTAGCACTCATTTATCTCAGAATACAAATCTCTCCCTGCCTTCTACTCAAAGCCTCAACATCAAGTCCGAACCTGTTTCTCCTCCTAGAGACCGTACCACCACGCCCTCGAGATATCCACAGCACACGCGCCACGAGGCAGGAAGATCCCCTGTTGACAGCTTGAGCAGCTGTAGTAGTTCCTACGATGGAAGCGACAGGGAAGATCACCGAAATGAATTCCACTCTCCCATTGGACTCACCAGACCTTCGCCGGACGAAAGGGAAAGTCCCTCCGTGAAGCGCATGCGGCTCTCTGAAGGATGGGCAACATGATAACTTTACTAGCTATTAGAGGTTTTTTTTTTCCTTGCAGTGCGTGTGTGTGCTATACCTTAATGGGAAAGAGGGAGGGGGGTCAATATGCATTATATGTGCTGTGTGTGGGGGGGAAAAGTCAGGTACTCTGTTTTGTAAAAGTACTTTTAAATTGCCTCAGTGATACCATATTAAAAGATAAACAGCAATGCTGAAGAGATGCTTCGCACTTGAGTTGTACAACAGATCACTTGTACAAAATAGGTTTTAAGGTTAACTTCTTTTTACTGTTGTGCTCCCTTGCAAAATGTATGTTACAATAGATAGTGTCATGTTGCAGGTTCAACGTTATTTACATGTAAATAGCCAAAAACAGAAAAAAAGAGGAGGCATTTGCCCAGCCCTGGGCAGATCTTTACTGAGAGAAAGCGGCTGTTATGCAACATATAGAAAATGTACAGATGTTTTGGGAGACCCAGAAATCGGGTGACTAAGGAAAAAAAGAAAAGAAAAGAAGGAAAAATTTAGGTCACTTAATGTATCTGAAAATGCTCACAAATGTGTTGGCATATTGTATGAGTATGGCACTCAGTTAAACGGATCAAAATCATTTAAAAGAGGACCATACTTGTAAAAAAAAAAATGTTTTTTGGGTTCTTTCTTTTTTTAGTGTGAGGGCTAACCTATTTAATTTTTTTAAATTCTGGGTCTGGATCACTTATTAAATAAAAATATTAAAAAATATGTAAATTACATTTTCCTTATTTTCATATTAAAAAGTAAGACAGAGTTTGCAAAGCATTGTGGCTTTTTGTAGTTTACATAAGCCAAAATGTGTTTTCCCCTTCATAGCTTTGCCAATATTTTAAACAGCCCTGAAGGAAACAAAGGGGGACTTTTTGTATAGAAAGCACTACCCTAAGCCATGAAGAACTCCATGCTTTGCTAACCAAGGTAACTGTTTTCTCTTTGCAGAAATTTTGTTTTTGAAATGTGTATTTCTAATTATATAAAATATTAAGAATCTTTTAAAAAAATCTGTGAAATTAACATGCTTGTGTATAGCTTTCTAATATATATAATAATTATGGTAATAGCAGAAGTTTTTGTTACCTTAATAGTGGGGGAATTATATTTGTGCAGTTGCACATTTAAGTAACTATTTTTTTCCTTTCAGTTTTTCTTCTAATCGGAATACATTTTACAGAATCATTCAGCTGTTGAAGGCTAATCTGCAAAAGATTAGGATTTTCCCTTCCTAAAGCAGCCCATATAATTCTAATACATCTGCAGTCAATTTTGCATCTGAGTAGTTCCATCATATCTATGACCATGTTCAAGGCCCTCTTCTTACCTTATTTATGTCTTGCGTATCTTGAGGCTTTCTGCCCTTCAGATCACAATGTGGCTCATCTTTGTCCTGTTTCTATAAATTCAACAAAACTTACAGTCTTTTTGCTGTAAGAGGTAACTCAGAAGGCTTGCACATTCCCAAACAAAATGGATATCTGGGGTAGCATCAAAGTGAATATAATTTTATAATCCAACAAGGACCCCAAATTTGATACCCTAACTGCAGTTATTGTGCCTAACAGTCAGTAGGTTGTCCCAGAAGTACAGGCAGATTTGGATTCAAATGTGGTTGAAGAAAAGTGGCCTCAGTGGCCTGGATGGCATAGCAGCAAAAGATCACCAATTCTAACTTCAATCTGGCCATAAATGTTGAGTTGTTTATGACCAGGGATGGATTTATACATGCATTACATTACTTATAACACCGTCATGTACAGGTATGCTGTGAAATAAATCCTGTTAAGGTCAAAGGGATTTATTTCCAAATGACTGAATATAGGTCCACGCAGTATTTTGCTATGCAACACTTGACGGCTTATGGCTGAACGTGTGGGCCAACTCCACTAAAAAGTGTTGTGCTTATTTTTGACATCTGTATTTAGTAGGTATGACAGTTAAAATGTGAAGCGCGTGCATCATATGGAGCAATGAGCTGACTTCCACCGTTACATTCAAATGTAGTGTTGCTATACTTCCTTTGAGCAATCAGTCCTACTATAAAAATTGGCCATCATAATTTTCTAACCTAAAAGGTTTGGTCATCACAGAATAGCATCCATTCTGTTCTACTTTCCCCTTACTGGAGAAAGTAACTTGCAGATGTTGCTTTGAGCAGGAATAGGCCCATTCCCTATCCACAGTTCCTACCCATAATTTTAATCAGGAATAATATCAGAATAAAATTATGCCTGAACAGGATATCTAATTTATCTTTGACATTAACACATATTATTTATAATTTAACAGGAATAGAAATGCATGAAAGTTATGTCATTTGCTTTAAACCCTTCCTTCCTTCACACAAACTGGGACTGAATCTTGAAAAGAAGTATTTTTTCCATACTAAAAGATGTGTGAAAGGTATATCTGGCTTCCCAGTGCTGTGAGAGAGTCCCTTTGTATATGACTTAGATTATTTCATTCTTTATAAATGTTTTATATTTCTTGGAGCTTTGAGATCTGGCATGCAGACTAGGTCTTGGTTGTCCACCCTGCTGAGCTGGGTGTCAGAGTAAGTTCTACAAGTGATGTAGCTTATTTTATTTCTTAGGAGAGAAGGGCAGGGTAGAAATGTAAGATGGAAGAAATCTGAGTAATTTCTAACACATTACAGGCAAAGCATAGCTCACGATGCAGTTCTTATAATTGCTCTACCACCATTTTGATACAGTATCAGGATAAAGCAGAGTGAAGAATGTGGAGGGCTATTCACTTTTCATTTAATCCCAGTTGCTGATTAGTCTTGTGATACCTTTCCAGAATCATGAACAAAAATTAGCAAATCTGTGTGACTTTGACAAATGTTAACATGGATGAATATGTCTGACAGAAGGATATAAGCTGTGAAAGGATACCAACCAAATATAGGTATAAAGCTTTGTTCATTTTTAACAGCAATCAATAATAATGATACCTGTACACTTGCACTTCCATATGCAATGACTACCACAGGCGTGGTGTCATAGCTTATGATTTCGTGCTGGCTCATCGGTTGCTTTGTCTTATCCTAAGCATTTATTGACTAGTACAGAAAACCTTGGGAGTATGCTGAAGCCATGTCATTTGCACTTATGTTCTAGATAACAGAAAAACTGCTTTGATAATGCATTAATTCTACCAATGACTTTAAAAAGATACGCGTGCATTAAAAGAAAGTGAGAATGGGGCCAATATTTGATTTTCCTAACTTCAATCAGGGTTCCAAATGATTTTCTTCACCTTAACATTTATCACCACTTGAGATCACTCATCTTCAACATGAATTAAATATGCAATATGTATGTGGTCATTTTAAAAAAGGGGGGGGGGAAGTAACATTTGGCTTACCAGTATGATTGTAAGTAGTCTGCCAATGTGAGTGGGTGAGAGTCAGAACGACAGCCATATACATGCACACCTGAAAGGACTGTTGAGCCTATACAAGTGAGGGGTTCTGTACATGTGAGTCAGTGGAAACAGGCTCCTCCCACTCAGCCAGGCATTGTGACCCTGAACACAGACACAGAGCTAAATTGTGCAAGAATGGATACTAGTGTTTCTTCCTTTTTCCACTACTGAGCTAAACTAAAATACAGGGGCACAAAAGCTAGGCTTAATTGAACATTGTTAATGGATTTAATTAATAAAAAAGCACAATGTTTAATGGTGATGTTGCTTTCTAGAAGCTTTAGCAGTCAATCCTTAACTGTTCTTTTTATCTATACCTTAAAGCATTTATGGCTAAGCTACTATTGGGGGACTTATGGTGTGATTCTTTTATATTTAAGCAGTTTTGGGGCAGTGCCCCAAAAAAGGATTGAGGCTTTCTTCAACCTGGGCAGGACAAAGTTAAAGGCAACATGCAATAGCCAAAAGGATGCCTTCTCCCCTCAAGCTGATCTTTATTTGGAAAAGGCTAATTAATGAAGGGATAAAGCCTATTTTCTGATGACAGTAGTATGATGTATACCATCCTTTCCAAATCTGGTGCCTTTCTAATATAGTGTCACAATACAATTCCCATCCTAAAACAAATAGACATTGGCCATGTTAGCTGGGCAGGATGGAGTTTATAATCCATATGTGAAGAGCACTAGGTTGGGGAAAGCTCATGGAGAACAATCTGCAGACATTTATATATTGTATGCATTGATGCCTTTCTCAGAAAAGGAGTTTTTAAAATCATTTCAGTGCTTAATCAAAGGGTTTTTTTTTTCCTCCTCCTCCTCCTCCTCCTCCTCCTCCTCCT